GGGCGCTAGCGACGCTGCCGCCGGACTGTGTGCCGACCCATGGGTCGCGGTTTTGGGGGGATCTGGCGCGGCGCGGGCGAGAGTTGGGCTTTTGTAGTTTTGGGTCTCAGAGCCTGGCGAATTTGCTGTGGAGCCTTGCGAAGGTGGCGGTGAAGCGCAGCGGCGGCGGCGGCGGCGCTGCGGTGGTGCAATATCAGCTCTTTGGCGGCGCCGCTGGCGTCCGTGAGTTGGTCCTGGCGCTGGAACGGAACCTGTACGACATGAACGCCGCGGAATTGAGCATGACTTTGTGGGCGCTGGGTCAGTTACGTCTCGACCCGGGGAAGCACTGGGTGGAAGCGGCGGCGCAGCGCGCGGTGGGGCTGCTGCGTAGGATGCGGCTCCGCGGCCTGTCGGCGCTCGTACATTCCATCACGTGGATCAAGTCGTACGGCCCGAGCGAGGAGGTGGTGGGTGCCTTGGAGGAGGCGGTTTTGCGGCGTCAGGCAACCGTTCGTTCGAGGCGCATGTGGCGGGGTATGGGATCCCGGCTGGCGTGTTTGCGGGCGGGTGTACGGCGGCGGCGGAACGTCGCAGTGGCGGCGAAGTTGCAGGAGGCCGCCAGGGCGAGGAAGGCCGCCGCCGTCGCCGCTGCCGCGGCGCGTAGAGCCGGGGGGCAGCGGCGACGGCAGGGCGCGGTGCAGCCTCAGCAGCGGCAGCAGCAACAACACCAGCGGCAGCAACAACAACACCAGCAGCAGTGGCAGCAACAGCAACACCAACACCAACACCAGCGGCAGCAGCAGCAACAGCAACAGCAAGGGGTCACGTCCGGTCGTCCGGGGATGCGGCCAGCAGTGCAAGAGGAGGTGGAACTGGTGCCCACCACCGCCAGGCGCCGCTCTGAAACCAACCCGGGACAGCGGCAGCGGCAGCAGCGGCGGCAGTAGCAGCCGCGCCTCACGACAGCAGGCTGGGACGGAGTGGGTTGGTGGATGGATGGGGGAAAGGGGGGAACACGGGGTCTCTGCTGGGTCTCTGCTGGAGTGGTAGGTAATGGTAGTTAGTGGTCGTTATCTCACAACAGGAAAAGAGGGGTATCATTTGTCGGCGTGGCGGTGCGTATTGCGGTGGTGGTGTTAGGGTTGCAGGGTGTTGTTAGGGTTGCAGCAGCGATGATAGTGGTGGTGGTGGTGGTGGTGATTTAGTCGGGAGCTATCGACAGCCGTACACATGACTTGAAGTTGTTCAAGAGCTCACCAACGGCAGGTAATAATGATGTAATTTGTCCTGACTGCACATGTACGACACCATGATGCCGTACACTGGCCGTACGTAGCAGCATGGCTGCCGTACTAACGTTGATGATTTTGGACATAAAATCAAACATGCCAGAGTTTTTACTCTGGCCAATTCTGGGCTGGGAATGGACTTGGACTCCGAGAATGGAAATTGGTGAGAATGGATGTGGTTGATGAACGAAGTAGAGTAGTGGGTAGAGGGTAGGAACCCATGCATGCATCCATCCAGGCCATCAGGCAGTGACTTTGCCGCCGCGAGCAGCAGGCGGAAATGTATGGCGGAAGCGTTAGACACTTGCTTGTATATCTTCTATCCCATACTTTTGTAATTTTAGGCTTGGTTCTGGGGTACATCGAAAAAGCTTTCCTGAAAATTACGCCGAATAGGATTCAGTAGTTTTCGGTGCATGCAATTCATTCCTATTCGCGCTTTGATTACCCAGGAAACTCACTCTGAAACGCCTACATACAGAGTAGTAACCACCAGACCAGCCTTAGCTAGAACTCGGCCCACAACGCAGCAACGGAACGAGCATCAACTGTCCCAATAGTAAGGGTCCTCCTTAGGCTATTCTGAGGCGGAAATCGGCTGCCTGGGGCTTCTTTACTGAAAGAAAATAGAGCTTTTATCGTGGCCTAGTATAGGCCCTTTGCCGGCATCTGATACCGAGGAGTGAGGACTTAGGGGGAAGGCTGAGTTACCGAGGTCGATTAAAGCGCCGTACAGGAAATTGGCATGCATGCTGCATCTACATCGGCACGCATCTACATAGGGCAGCGTGCAATACATAATTTGTTACCAGGGATGTTGCTTACAGAGAAAAAAGCTTGAGAAGCTCAGACGCCCGATTTGTATTGTGAGTGTCGAAGACAACAGAATAAACGTGGAGAAAAAAATTTTGGGCCATACAAGCATCGTAATGGTTAACTGCAGAAAAATCAAAGTGGCTGAAACAGGCATGGCTTAGGAAGGGAAATGATCTAGAAGCTTTGTCGTGCAGTGTCTCAGTCAGAACAGACAGCGTGTACCCCATCTGTATGAGCTCTCTTGCCTTCAAATTGCATTCGTAGGAAAATGATGCAACTAATATTTTGTGTCGTTTTAGCTGCAAGTTACTTCCTTCTAGGTAACGATGCAGCCCTGCTTAAGAGAATTGAGGCCCCTTGCACTGCCTGCAAGTCTGTGGCGGTGCGTGCCATGGTTGAATTTGTATACTATTTGCTGTGCAATTAGCGAACAAACCTGTCATCCTTAATTTGCTGGTCACAGGCAGAGCTCCAGCGACGAATCGACAAAGAACCGGTTAGGAATCACCTTGACCTAAGGCATCGCTTGGATAAAGATGGACAGCGCTACGGGAAAGTGATTGCGTACAGGGTAAGAGGACGATCTCCGGTGTAGCTTGTAGTTCACCCTGGCGTTTGCTTAAGCACAACGAATTTTATGCACAAATTGTAACATGCAGACAGGAATGTATGCGTAGCGCAGGTTGACCCAACTCACCACGATCTTCCCAAATCTGCTTGCAGTCGAGCGAGCTGCGCGCGGTGGAGTTGTTGGACGGCTTATGCAGCAGCATGCGGGACTATTCCCTTGTTCATCCGATAGGAAAGAAAACCAAGTTTTGGCTCAAAGTGAAGGGCGAGGGGGCCGGGAACACAGGCGCTGTCACCCGACCCCAGCGGGAGGAGGAGGATGAGAAGAGCAAGGTGAGAATCGGTAACCTCCCCAGACCAGCATCGCGGATCAACCTGCATAGCCTTTTCACAACTCCTAGTCTCCTTCTGGGTTACTCCCGCAGTGCGGCAGCCACGCAGTCTATCGGGTTGGCCCTTGGGGAACGTTGCCAGTTGTCAGCCGTCAAATTCAACAGCCAGTGCTATGCACCAGCCTACGAGTTTCACTTAGGGACCTTTGCTGCAAGGTCCCTATAAGCGCACGTGCGCTGGGGGCGTCCCTCCCGTTGCAGGGCTTTGGGCCAGCGCTTTGGCCTGCAGACAGGTCCCCCTGCCTACGTCCCTCCGCCCCTCCGCCCTGTCGGAGGGCAAAGTGCAAAATGGGAAAATTGTTCCTCACGGCACAAGGCAGCCGGGTTGCCTGTCGCCGCCTTTTGTAGTGCGCGTGCAAAAGGCAGCCGCGCAACTTTTGCAGCGCATGGCAGTGGCAGATACAAGATCTTGCAAATAGTGAAAAAGCGTGATAGCCCGTATCGAGGCCGAACCACGGACCCCCGCCCCTTGTTGCTGTGGTGCATTCCCGCCGTTTCTGTGTGCAGCGACTTGAAGCTTACTGCGGGACTTTGCTGGAGGAGTACGAGGAGGAGATCTATGCTGGGGTCATGAAAGGAGGCTTTGACTCTCAGGGTGAGTCGGAAGGATTCCACTAGATTGGATTCAGACCGGGATTCAAAATTGGATCCGTAGGGTGGTTTAGGATGGACCCGAAACGGGGGCGAGTTGGCGGCGGCAAGTAGTGCATGTGGTGATATGGGTCAGGGCCAACTCGCCTGGACTGGCTTGGGATATAGCCTGAGACGTTGAGGCAAGCTGTGTTTTGTCTTATTGACGGCACCGGAGACGGCGCTGACATGTTGGCTGAACGGGCGAAACCTGGCTGGTGTGCTGGGTACTAGGGGTGGGGATTAGGATTGCGGCTAGCATTCATCGTTGTGTGTGTGTGTGCATGTGCATGTGTATGTGTGTGTGCAAGAGAGAGAAAGAAAGATTTTCGCGCTGGTACCCCACCCGCTCTTGGCCAAACGCTGCCGTTGGAGGGACGAGAACACGAGACAAAAGTTGTTTTGGCATGAAGAGGGTGGATGGAAGTTTTCGACATCGTGATCGTGAGATCCTGCAAGAAGACCCCCATTGATTGTACATGACCTAAGGCACATGGCCGCGAGGCCACCACGAAGCAGCCATGTTGTGGACACAACGGCGCGGCTTTCCAATGTATCGGACATATGGCCCCATGCATGTCCACAGGCGTCGAAGCCGTGCTGTGCCGGAGCATCATTTCCCCATGCCCTATAGCGGCGCCTGCGCCGTCAGGCGATACTGAATCGGCCAGCCAAGCAGCGGCTGCGGATGACGTGGAGCGCGAAGCGACTGCCGAGGAGGCGGCAGCCGCCGCCTCTGGCTACGTGGAGGAGCTCACGCTGAAGGGAGACGCGGATGGCAACGTAGAGCTGTAAGCTGCATGTTTGACAACAGGACAGCTGCATGGAGAACGGCGAGCGGTGGTTCTGGGTGGTGCTGCCGCTGTAATTGCGGTGGAGAGCTACTTGCGCGCGCTGCTGCGGCAGAAGGCACGTAACTGTGTACTGGGGCCCCATGGAGTGGGGGCCCGTTAACGGCCTGACCTTGCTTGCCATGATCCTGATGGCTGGGGCTCATTGTGGAGTGATGGATACATTCAACGCGGTGCGCTGTGGGGCGAAGTGGGGCGAAGTGAAGACCTGCGAAAGCTGTATTCAGCTTGTCGACGGCTGTTTATGCACAGGCGGGCTAAGTGTGGAGGAGTTCTGCTGCGAGCTTTGGATGAGGGACGTGTTGCTGAGGGGCCAGAAAATTGCTGAGTGTAGAAAAGCCCCGAGGGCTTCATTTGACGTGAATTTGTTTTTGAGAAAGGGATGACTGGGATGAGGTGTGGTGGCTTTGTGTGCGAAAGGAAGGGGCTTAGCGCGCGGACGAGCGAGGCAAAACGAGCGACTGATCATTAAAGTTACGCATTTGGACGTGTGCACACTTTTGGGTATAACGAAGCTCGAATGGACTGCGGAACATGCTGTGCCTGCCTAGGGCGATCCCAGGCAAGCGGAACCTGAGCCGTGTGTTGAAAATTGGAACTCTGTTTTCGTTATTTTTTAAATGCACGACTCAGCACGCCTGAGCAAGCCTGACCTGGCAGCATATCCCCTCTCCAAGCCCCCGGATTCCAACCGGCAACACAAACCTCACTGTTGCAACCACAACGAACCCCATAATGCTCATGGAGGAGGTTTTCGGCATGACAAAACCCTGGAATCTGAAACGGCCTTACCTAACCCAAGTGACCGGCAGCATTAAATCCCAAACCCACTCAATTATCCGCAATTCAGCAACATCTGGCAAACAGCAGGGGGACCAACATTTGATCGTCCGCACCAAACCCTAGTTTGGCCACCCTTAATAGCCACTGTGGCACAGCCAGCTGTGACTTGCCCTGAGCGCGGCATCCAGCCTGGTGTGGCAGTTGCAGCTCCGCTGCGCCTCCTCTCCCAGTACACAGTTCCCTAAATCAATAACATCAACTTATAAACATATCACATTTGAGCACAGCAAAATCCTAATTAATATAAACACGCTCCTCCCTGCCTGAGCTTTCCCAACGCATGTACACAAGCAAGTGCAAGCAGGGCTCTGGATGGCAATGCTTGGAAGCAATTCTTGGTTTGGCTTTATGGCTCCCAGCTCAGTACATGACCGCTTGTCTTGACGTGCCGAGAGTCGGTTGTAACCGCACAAAAGCGACGGGTCGCCGGCATTCCAAGACGGGCTGGCAAACTCAGCCTTTTCGATGTGCTTATTTATAGTACCCCTGCAGCAAGTACCGCACACCGAACGCCAGCCCGCAGCTAGCCACCTGGAACATCAACACCCGCACGCACAATGCGTTTTCGCCACAACGCCCGAACAGCTGCAGCGTCAGGTTCACTAAGTTCCAGTCGGGCGCGTCCTTGGGGCGCAACAGTCCTGTGGCCGGGTCAAACACCGGCAGGCGGTGTCGTGGACACGGCACGATCTTGAACAGCTGCGGTAGCGAGTACAGGAAGTTGAAAACCTGGGGCAGCAGGAAGAGCAGCAGTGTTTCGCTAAAGTGACCCAGGATGCCGGCCACGGCGATGGTCATGCCAGCGAAGTAGGTGAAGGTGTCGCCAACAAAGACACGACTGGGGTACCAGTTGAAGACCAGCAGGCCGAAGGTAGTTGCAGCCAGAGGCATCATGAGGTAAGAGGAGAAGAGGTGCCCGTCACGGACTGCGGGGCTGGCGCCGGCCCATCCCGCGACGGCAAGAAAGTTGTGCAGCAGCACGGCGCACGCGACGATGAAGGTTTGGCCGGCCTCAAGGCCGTTGACTCCGGCCAGGATGTTTATGGAGTTCGTGCAAAAGATGGTCAACAGGACCATGAAGAGCTTGTAAAGCAAACCGAGCTCCAGATAGGCGGGTAGGCCCAAGCCAAGGCCCAGAAGGGGCTTGGGGACGGCGATGCCCGTTCCCCCCGAGTAGGCGGCGAGCAAGGGGAGAGAAGCGAAGAGTGGCAGGATGAGCTTTACCCGCCATCGTATGTCCAGCACGTCGTCAGTAAATCCCAGGAAGAGCATAAAGCCGATAGTTGCGAGCGCAGCGTTGTAGTCCACCAGCCACGCGTCCGAAATGGGCTCTGTCTTTGGGCTGCCCTTGAACCCACTTCGCACATAGTGCGCCAGACTGCCGATATCGTAGTAATGCAGCAACTCGAAGCAGATTACGCAGAGCAGGAAGACACAGCCTGGCGCCAAGCCTGCAGCTTCCGGAATCGGCTTTTCACCTTCGGGAGTGCCCCTCTTATTCAAGTCTTTGCCACAAATGCCCCGTGCTTGCGTCTTAGATGCCACCTTTGGAACAAGGTAGACTGTCCCCAGAAAGCCAGCCAAGCTGACGAGAGCACAGGCGATGATCAACTGCTGTGTTCGCGGATCCACTATTTGGGTAAAAGCCCATGCTGGCAATCCAAAACCCAAAAGACCTAAAACAGCAAGCTGTCCCGCTCGCCCCATCTGCTTTGCGCTCCGGCTGTATCTTAGGACAATGTGCTTAAGGTTACAGTGTTAAGGCTTGCTTAGTCCGTTAGGATATGCATGAGTATCATGTGTAATTTCTAAACAATTCTAATGGAATGTGCGGAAACGCACGCTCGCGCGACCGATGTGCCGAAGCAACAGCCGTATTCTTGTTGCCGTTTCCAACCAACCGGCAGGCCTGATTCAGTTCTTACTTTACTAGCATCATATAGTTATGTAGACATGCCGTGCATCTTGAACCTATCCACTTGTAGCATATAGCTCTACGACCCGCACCTAACTGTAAACAGCTTTCTTAAGCCGCAAGATGCCGAACATCGATTGCAGCGACTTACCAAACCATAACTCACCTGTAGCTTGGATCTGAGCACAGCGAGTTGCCTCGCTGGCCGCTTCCCGCATGGTCGTCAGCCCGGGCGGCCAACGTCGGTCGCCTATCGCTTGGGCAGGTGTTCTGATATCTTTCCTAGCTTGTACTCAAACGATCGCCTTTCAATCCCAACCGTGAGTCAGGCCCCCCCGCGAACCGTTTGCTGCGTCACGTTCGCGGGCTGCCCCGAAACCACTGCCGCTGCCAAGGCCTGCCAGTCTCACACCCAAACTCCAAACCCTTCCCGATCCCTTTTCCATCCATCCAACCCCCGACGCATACACAGCGTGCCTCTGGTTCTTCCCCTGGAATCACGTTCTCAGCTTGCCGTACAGCATGAGGGGTTGGACCTCCTGAACAGCATCTCTGGTCCAGTCAGCCCCGTTGTGGTCATTGGGCCGTACAGATCCGGAAAGTCCTTCACGCTCAACCAGCTGCTGGGAGTGCCGTGCAGTGAGTACGACATCGTACTGCTGTTCGGACCACGGGACCGGATCCCGGGAGCTGCACTGGTTTACCAAACGAGGGGATCAGGATCGGGATAAGGAAGGGGGAGGGCGCCCCAGCACTGGACAGCAAACACGCTGAACAAGGGGGATGGATGGATGGATGGGTGGATGGAGGGAGGGGGGGAGGGAGGGAGGGAGGGATGGAAGGATGGATGGGTGGATGGATGGAAGGGGGGAAGGAGTGAAATTGAAATGAGGGGGTTAAATTTGGTGATTCCGTGGGAAGTTAAACTTAGCTTTTCGGAATGGATCCGGATTTGGAGGTGACAAGGGCACGGCAGGGCCGGCAAGGGTGGAATATAGTCGCGGTATTAAGGGGGGGGAGAGAGGCGTTGGGGGAAGGGCCATAACTACGTTTGCAGGCATATGGCCTATTCCACCCTCTCCCCCTCCCCTAATACAAAGTCATCGCTGTGTCCCTCCTCCCCTCCGCGTCTTCTTCACAACCCCAAGACCTCCCGCGAAACACCACATCCCCGCGCATTCCCCCCCCCCCCGGTGGCCCCCTTCAGACCAGGGTTTCGGAGTCGGCCATACGCGGTCAACGGAAACTAAGGGAATTTGGCTGTGGGGCAAACCCGTATCGCGTGGTGGAGGAGCAGGAGGGGGGCCCGGGGATGGGGTTGGAAAGGAGGGTGGAGGAGTGGGAGGTGCGGGGTCTACGCAGCCGGGGAATCATCAGGAGCAGGAGCAAGGGAGGGGCGATGGCGGTGATGGAGGCGATGACAGTATGGTGAGAATCTGTGTATGTGTTTGTGTGTGTGGGGGGGGAGTTACCGTTATCTGGAAGTACTGAAGTTGTACGGTTGTTTCTGTTATTTCTGTTGTTTCTTTTTTTGGGGGGGGATTTTAGTTGCTACCACACTGTGCTCGCACACTCCAAAACACACACGGGTATCCGCAAATTTATGCAGCCATGTACGGCAGCCATAGCCTCAAAAGACTTACGTGCCGTACTAGCCCTGCCGTACGTGGACGCCTTCCTACACGGCCTCTTGTAAACTCGTGCTGGTGCTGTTGTTCGTGGCCATGTGTAGAGTGCTGGATAACACTCCATTGCTTTTGCCACTGCTGTTGCTACTGCTGCTGCTACTGCTGTTGCTGCTGCTACTGCTGTTGCTACTGCTGCTGCTACTGCTGTTGCTACTGCTGTTGCTGTTGCTACTGCTGCTGCTACTGCTGTTGCTGCTGCTACTGCTGCTGCTACTGCTGTTGCTACTGCTGCTGCTACTGCTGTTGCTACTGCTACTGCTACTGCTGTTGCTACTGCTGTTGCTGCTGCTGTTGCTACTGCTGCTGCTACTGCTACTGCTGTTGCTACTGCTGTTGCTACTGCTGCTGCTGTTGCGACTGCTGTTGCTGCTGCTGCTACTGCAGCTGCTTTACGTGGATACGGAGGGTTTTGAGAGTACGGGAAAGGCCAATTCGTATGACGATCGGATCTTTGCGCTATCGGCGATGATGGCATCCCTGCTAATTTACAACCTGCCGGAGACTATTCGCGAATCCGACGTGGCGAAGCTTTCGTTTGCTGTTGAGCTGGCGAGGGGGTTCTACGACAAGAGCGACCCGGAGCAGCAGCAACAGGTGTGTGTGGGGGAGAGAGAGTGTGTGTGTATGTGTGTGTGTATGTGTGCGAGAGATGAAGAGAGAGAAAAAGAGAGAGAGGAAGGGAGAGAGAGTGTGTATGCCCAGCCCAGGTCCAGCCCACCAAGCCCGAAGTACCGCCCCCAGAAGTTTCTTCATCCTCATCAAAACAACCCCCTTCTTTTACCAGACTTCCCCCCTCCCCCTTCTTCTTTCCCCCTCCCACCCTTCCCTGTCCCTCTCCTCCCTCTCCCACCTCCCTCCCCTTCCCTCCCCTTCCCTGTCCCCGTCCCTCTCTCTCCTCCCGATTTTCGTTTTCAGGCTTTCGAAAGACGCCTTCCGGCAGTTGATTTCTGATTTCCTTGCAGCATATGATTATAATGCCCCCCTCCCGACCCCTCCTCCTCCTCGCCCATCCACAGACCAACAGCAGTAGCAGTAGCGGTAGCGACGGCGGTGTGGAACCGGGATCCATGTTGTGGCTCATACAGCGGGATTTCCTGACCGGTCAAACTGCGGATCAGTTGGTCAAAGCCGTACTGGCACCCGTACCAAACCCGCAGCACGACGCGGGGCTGGAGGCACTCAATCAGGTGCTCTGTGTGGGTGGGGTGGGGGTGGGGGTGGGGGTGGGGCCGGGGAGATGAGGAGGTGTACTGGGCCCACATGTTGATGTGCATATTCATTCTGTCTGTGTGATCTTGTCTAACCTTGTCTTGTCCGTTCCGTTCATCCACAACATGGGGGGGGGTCCGGATCTGATATCGTTGATGATAAGCTGGGGTTGTCTGCCACACACACGGCGGGGGGATGTTGGTATGAGGGGACGTGGACGATATACTGCATGACCTTCAGCGTACATAAAGGAAACGTAAATGCACACCTATACACACCTATACATACATACATACATACATACATACATACATACATACATACATACATACATACATACATACATACATACATACATACATACATACATACATACATGCATACATACATACATACATACATACATACATACATACATGTACGGAGACACACGTATACGCGGCCATGCTAACTTGTTGTGTCTGTCCTCCGTTTCCCCTCCTCTTCCCCTCCTTACACACGCATACATAAACATACATACATACAAACATACAACATGACATACATACATACGGTCCCAAAGGTCCGTTCCTCGCTATCAGCTCTGGCTCGCAACAGTACGGGCTTCTCATTGCGACAGCCCCACATAGATAGGGCCCGTTTGTGCGAGATTCCGGACGAGGAACTGGATCCGACGTACGTACGGCAACGGGAGGAGCTGAAGCAGCTCGTCCAGGTGTGTGGAAGGGGGAAGGGGAGGGGGAGGGGGAGGGGGGTAAGTCCTGAGTCCCGGAGGAGAGGGGAGGGGAAGGAAGCCGCAAAATAGACGTGGCTTGGATTTTTCCATTCTTTTGTCCTATATTTTCCTTTTCGTTTTATTGTCTTTTTGGCCACTCCAAAATCACTAATATCCCATACGAACCCCAACCATAATTCCCATTCCCCCCCCACCCCCCTCCCCCCAAAACCCCCCCGGAGGGGCCCCTTTCCCCCCCCCCCCCCGCGAGACGTGAAAGCAGTCCCTAGCCCGGCCGCGAGCTCTTCGCGGAATGCCCCTCAACGGCCCACAGCTGGCATCTCTGGTCAGCAGAATGGTGGAGGCGCTGAATCAGCAGGTACGACAGGAGTACGGCTGTGTACGGCGGTGTGTCGTACGGTTGGCAGACAGGATGCCATGGGTTGCGCGTGCGCCTTCTTATCTTTCTTCCCGCGCTGCTCAGTCCATAAAACACACACACACACACACACATAAAAATGAATAAATAAATAAAAAAAAATATATAGGTATATATATGTATATATATACATAGTGTGTGTGTGTGTTTTATGTATACATACATATGTACATGCGCACGTTCCTCCTCTTCCTTTCCCTCCCCTCCCGAACCCCCGAGACACACCACCACGCACCCCCCTCCCCGCCCGTCCAAACACACACGCACACGCCCCAGGAAATCCCCACCGCCACCTCCCTCCTCGCCGCCTTCAACCGGGAGGTGCTCTCCCGCTGTGTGGCCAACTACTCGGGGGCGCTGGCGGCCCTGACACTGCCGCTGGGGGAGGACGACGTGGAGGCGGTGGAGATGGGGGCCAGGGGGGCGGCGCTGGAGGTATGTATGTATGTATGTATGTATGTATGTATGTATGTATGTATGTATGTATGTATGTTTGCATGAGTTCAAATGAACAACGCAGCGAGGCGTACAGGTGGGAGGTGTGCGTCTGTATGTATATCTGTTACATATCGATCCGGGGGGCCCACCTAACCGTACCGTACCCCAACGGGAATGAGCAACCGCCGAAGCACTCTCCTCCTCCGCCGCGTGTGTGTATGTGTGTATGTGTGTATGGGGGGGAGGGGGGAAGGGGGACGTGAGGGACCGCAAGGGGTGAGCTTTGTGAGGAAACCGATCGGCAGGTGACGAACGGCCGCTGCAAACATATACCATTTTTCGCTACTGCATTTCGCCACTGCATTTCGCATATAACACATAAACCCAACGCCTGCCTCTTTTTCATGT